TATATACACTTTTCTCACTTTTTCTTACTGAATATTCATTTGACAGATTTTCTTATCTTTATGATCATTATGATGTTGCAGTCGATTTGGTAAATTCGTGGAGATTCAGTTTGATCAAGGGGGAAAGATATCCGGAGCTGCTGTCAGGACTTATTTGTTAGAGAAATCACGGGTTTGTCAGGTGTCGGATGGTGAAAGAAATTATCACTGTTTTTACATGCTTTGTGCTGCACCGTCTGAGGTACGTATAAATTATCTTCCATATTTCTGAAATGATTGTCCCTATGTTTCTCATCTTCCGTTCCATTTATTATTTGCCAGGTCATTAGAAAACTAAAACTAGACGATCCACGAAAATTCCATTATCTGAATCAATCCCGTTGTATCGAGTTGGAGGGGATGGATGATTTAAAGGAGTATAGAAAAACTCTAGAAGCAATGGACATTGTTGGGATAAGTTTAGAGGAGCAGGTAGTTTTTTCTTTTTCCTTTCTCAAGTAAACTCTAGAAGCAATGGATATTGGCGTATGAGTGTATCTGAAATCACTTTCTTTTTCAGGAAGCAATATTTCGAGTTGTGGCAGCTATTCTTCATCTAGGTAACATAGAATTTGCAAAAGGAGAAGAAGCAGACTCGTCAGTTCCAAAAGACGACAACTCTAAGCACTCCCTGAAGATTGCTGCTGAGCTTTTCATGTGCGAAACTAACTGAATCGATGGCTTTGGATATGTGATAATGTGAAAAGAACTCATGCCTGACTCCTTGAATTTTGGCAGGTGTGATGAGAAGGCACTGGAAGATTCTCTTTGTAAACGCGTTATGGTGACACCTGAAGAAACTATTTCCAGATGTCTTGATCCAAAATCGGCGGCACTGAGCAGAGATGCGTTTGCAAAATTTGTGTACTCAAGATTGTTTGATTGGTATGTATAGTATTTACAAGCACATGATTTCTTGCAGCTGGATGGTTCTCTTTCCCAAAAGTTACTTTCATTACTCTTTGCTAACATTCCATATTGCTCTGGTAGGATCGTAAACAAGATCAATAATTCAATTGGGCAAGATCCTGACTCGAAAAACATGATCGGAGTGCTGGATATTTATGGATTTGAGAGTTTCAAGACAAACAGGTGCTTAAGCGGTATGCTTTATGTTTGATTAAGGCCAGGAAACCGGTTTAGTAAAATACTATGGAAAAAAGGCTCACATGAAACATCAGACACATGACATGAATCTGGTTTTAGGAAGATGGGTATTAAAAGTCACTATTCTCTTTGAAATATCTGGACGTTGAGACATCGTTTGGGATCTGTATTCACCAGACATCGTTCTTCTCTTATTAAAAAATATACGTTCTGTTATGCAAGAGAGGTGAAAGGTTTCAAGTGCATGTTGCTTCTGATGCTTACTAATGCATGCTTCTTTTTTTTCTTGCAGTTTTGAACAATTTTGCATCAATTTGACAAATGAGAAACTTCAGCAACATTTTAATAAGGTTTGTCTGAGGTCTGCTCCTTCGTCTGATAGTTGACTTTCATTCAGTTTTATTCCTTGATCCATGATACTTTTTCTTGCGCAGCACGTCTCGGAAATGGAACAAGATGAGTACAGGAAAGAAGAAATTGACTGGAACCACATTAACTTCCCAGATAATAAAGAAATTTTGAAACTTATTGAGAAGGTAACTAGTTTCTGCATTTGAATTGCGAGCTCTTAGTGGATAGTTTCCATTTTAACTCAAACTCGCATGTTCATCATTGTTTCTCACGTTTCAGAAACCGGGTGGTATTATTGCTCTTCTGGATGAGGCTTGGTAAGCCTAAGAGCTTCAGTTGCTATTATTCCGCATGGGTGGTCTCCCTTTTGATATTGACGTTTTATATCTGTATCTTGCAGCATGTTCCCAAGATCAACACATGAAACATTTTCTCAAAAGCTGTACGAAACGTTAAAAAAGAACAAGTGCTTTAGCAAGCCAAAATTAGCGCGTACTGACTTCACAATTTGCCACTATGCTGGTGATGTGAGTACAAACCTGCTTTAGCATTCTAAATTTATGATAGTGCAGTCATGTCCTAAATTACTAGTTTTTTATATCCTAAAAGTACTGAGTTATCTTTTCAGGTCACTTATCAAACTGAGCAGTTTCTGGAAAAGAACAAAGATTATGTTGTTGCTGAGCATCAGGCTTTGCTAGGTGCTTCTAGTTGCACTTTTATTGCAGGTTTATTTCCTCTTCAAATTGACGACGCTAACAAAAAGTCGAAGTTCTCTTCTGTAGCTTCGCAATTTAAGGTGCAGTAAAATGTGGTAGTTTTTATGTAGATAATCGTTCGGTTCCATCGCAGGATTACTGAAGTCACTGTCTTACATTATTATGCAGCAACAATTGGCATCATTGGTTGAAAGTCTTAGTACTACTGAGCCTCACTATATTCGTTGCGTGAAGCCCAATAATCTACTGAAGCCTTCTACATTTGAGAACCAAAATGTTCTCCAACAGCTACGTTGTGGGGTGAGATTCACTTACATGTTTTGTTTGTTTGGACACATTTACTTGTTACTATTCTGTGCGAGTTCTAAAATTCTGTATAAGCATATTTTCAGGGTGTGATGGAGACAATCAGGATTTCTCGTGCTGGATATCCTACACGTAAACATTTTGATGAATTCCTGGACAGATTTAGTATCCTAGCTCCTGTGAAGTTAGATAAGAGGTTTGACTCTCTCAAATCAAAGTTTGAAAGCTTACACAGATATTGAAAACGTTCTAACTTTTGGCTTGTCCTTACTAGTTCCAATGAGAAAGCAGCCTGCAAGAAACTTCTGGAGACAGTTGGACTTAAAGAATACCAGGTACTTATTTTGTGCATGTCATGTTTTGAATCCGTGCTTGGGAACTTTGATGAATGCTTGTTTGATTTATCCTGCTTTAATGTGGAGCTTAACGTTCTTGTTCTTGCAGATTGGGAAAACGAAGGTTTTCCTCAGGGCTGGGCTGATGGCTATATTAGATGCTCGGAGGACTGAGGTCTTAGGAAAATCAGCCAGAATTATACAGAAGAAATTCCGCTCCTACCGGCTCCTCAACGCTGCGATAAATATGCAGGCTGTTTGCAGAGGTATCCAAAAGTAGTAGATATTATTAGCTAACGTAACTATTTAGATAGTTAGAGACCAAATGTGACTGTTTCATTTATTATATGCTTTGTTATCCATCATTTACAGGTGAACTTGCTCGACATAGATTTGAGGACTTGCGCAGAAAAGAAGCTGCTGCTTTGAAGATCCAGAGAGCGTTGCGGATCTACCTTGATAGGAAGGCTTACACAGAAGCTGTTATTACAGTTCAGTCAGGTTTGCGCGGTATGGCTTCTCGTGATGTACTACAAAGGAAGACCAAGGCCATAATTGTGATTCAGGTTACGGAATCTTCTTTAGTGGAAAATTTTTGGAAAAAAACACGTCTATTTTCTTTTTCTTTTTCGTTTCATCTTTGAGCTTTGCAGGCCTTTCTCATTCCTCCAGATTTCTTCTAGATTCTGATTTTAAAATGTTCATTGCATATACAGAGATATCGCCGTAGATTCCTGGCCGAATCGCACTACAAGAAGCTGAAGAAAGCAGCAATTGCAACACAAAGTGCATGGAGAGCAAGGCTAGCCCGTAAAGAACTGCGAGAGCTAAAGATGGTGAGATTTTCTACCTCTCGCTTTTGTCTTTTTCTTTGTTTTTTTCAAGGTTTCAGTTCATAAACACCTCAGATAACGTTTGGTGTTTTGATGAGTTTAAACAATGGGATTAGATGAGTTTAGCAGCTGGAAATTGCCTGTTCCATTTGGTTGTCTTGAACACAGAGACAGAACATGCTCGCTTTTTCCCAAAATGAGAAAACTGCAGCAATGAGGCATTCATATTTTCTTGCAGGCTGCAAAGGAAACTGGAGCCCTTCAAGCTGCCAAGAGTAAGCTTGAGAAGCAAGTGGATGAACTCACATGGAAACTGCAGCTTGAGAAAAGCATGAGGGTCAGATAAAACACGTCCCTTGATCTTTCGGTTTTCCATCCATCCTCGAAAGTTTTCCTCTCTAAAAATCTTTTTCTGGATACTGATTCAACACATCCTTCACTGTTATTGTGCCTTTGATGTTGTAGGTGGACGTGGAAAAAAGTAAAACACAAGAAAATGCAAAACTGCAATTAGCATTGGAAGAAATACAACTCCAGTTCAAGGAAACCAAAGCGTCTCTCTTAAAGGAAGTGGAAGCTGCGAAAAATACAGTAAAAATTGTTCCTGCAGTAAAAGAGGTTCCTATTGTTAACACCGAGCTAATGGAAAAACTCAAGAATGAAAATGAAAAACTCAAGGTATTCTTTTTGTTTCCCTGAGTTTACTAAGGATTTCAAAGCAGTAGAAAACATTTGTAATTCTCTCTCTGTTTCATATGCAGTCCCTGGTAAGTTCGCTGGAGCAGAAGATTGATGAGACAGAGAAAAGATTCGAGGAGACGAGCAAAATTAGTGAGGAGAGGCTGAAGCAGGCTTTAGACGCTGAAAACAAAATTGTGAATTTAAAGACAGCCATGCACAAGTATTCACTATTGTTCTCTTGGCTGTTGAATTTCCACACTATTTTTAATGTTTTGATAACTCACTCACAGAGTCAACATATGCGGATTTTCTTCATTTTCAGACTCGAAGAGACATTAGAGGATGTGAAATTTGAAAATCAACTTTTGAAGCAATCTATCTTGACCACGCCTGTTAAGACAGCATCAGGACGTTTCCCTACTACTAGCGAAGAAAAGCAACTCAATGTAAAATTATATATTTTATTTACCGTCTACTTTGATCTGAATTTCTGCTCCATTTGTTTGTATATCCTTAAAATCTCCGTCTCTGCAGGGAGCTGAGTTTACAACACCGCCAAGGATACAAGAATCAGGATCTGACGCTAAGTCGAGGGGATCCCATATTGATCCTCGACATGTATGCTGTTTAGTTAAATAACTCGTGTATCTGCTTCCAATCTTTAATATGTCCTCTTTGTGGTTGAAGAGAGATTTTCTCTTATTTTTCTTTGTACAGGAGGATGTAGATGCCCTTATCAACTGTGTCACAGAAAATGTTGGATTTAGCCAGGGGAAGCCTGTTGCGGCATTTACCATCTACAAATGTCTTCTTCATTGGAAATCTTTTGAAGCAGAGAGAACCAATTTGTTTGATCGTCTTGTTCAAATGATTGGTTCTGCTATTAAGGTACTAAAATGGGAGGCTGTGTTGTCTACTTCCGTAAAAAATCTCTGTTTTTTTGTCTTTGTCATAGTTGAATGATCAAAGATTCTTATTATCAGGATGAAGATGACAACGCTAATTTGGCATATTGGTTATCCAATACCTCGACCTTAATGTTCATGCTCCAACAAAGTCTCAAATCTGGAGGAACTCCATTTCGAAAGTCGCCTTCCTTGGTCCGATGGATGACCAAGGTAAATATACTCCTTGTTTTTTATCTTGTGTTGGTGAGTTTATGCTCCAGAAACAAAACAATAATTTCTAAATCCTTACCTTTTATTTTCCAGGGTTTCCGTTCTCCAGCGGCTGAAGCGATTCGCCCAGTTGACGCCAAGGATCCAGCTTTGCATTTCAAGCAGCAGCTTGCAGCATATGTTGAAAAGATTATTGGAATTATTTGGGATAATCTGAAAAAAGAGTTGAACACTTTCCTTACTCTCTGCATCCAGGTGCTATGATCTCACAATGCTTTTCTACTTTCATCTTGCCTTTTGTAATATGTATGTGTTGTGAGCTGACATGAGATAAACTCTCTAGGCACCAAAGACATTTAAGGGGACTGGGCTAATATCTACAAGCACTGCTAAATACTGGCAAGGGATTATTGAAGGCTTAGATGCACTGCTAAGCACACTGAAAGAGAACTTTGTATGTGAAATGAAACTCGTTTCCAATCGCTTCTCTTTTCTCTCTTAATGTCAAGAAATTCTTATTGCTTATTCTTGTTACAGGTTCCTCCGGTTCTAATCCAGAAGATATTCTCTCAGGCTTTCTCACTCATTAATGTCCAAATATGTAACAGGTGAGAGATTGTTTGTTCTCTGTTATGGAATATGCATCTTTATGATAAGCAGGCTTTAATCGGCTTCTTCTTTCTGATCTGCAGCCTTGTCACGCGACCAGATAACTGTTCATTTATCAATGGAGAATATGTTAAATCTGGTTTAGAAAAGTTAGAGAAATGGTGCTCCGAAACAAAAGAAGAGGTATTCCCAAGTACAATTTCCTTTCTCGTAGTTTGTTATCGTCAATTAGTTTATACGTAACACAATATCTCGCCTATGATACTCGTTTTGACAGTATGCTGGCTCATCCTGGGATGAACTCAAACATACCAGACAAGCTGTTGGATTCTTGGTAAGCAAATCAGCTTTAAGTTTACTTGAATCTTAGTAAGATCTTACATTTCTCAGATGCTACCTTCTTGAATTTTCGCGTCTACCACAGCTCATTCATAAGAAATACAAAATCTCATACGATGAGATTGCAAATGATCTGTGTCCAGTAAGTCTCTCTATCAACCCACTCTTTTACCAATAACTGATAAACTTTGACATTGTGATAACGCTGACAACATTTTTCCTTCGCTCAGAGCCTTAGAATACAGCAGCATTTCAAACTATGTACTCTGTACAAAGATGAGATCTACAACACAAAAAGTGTTTCCCAAGATGTAAGTTCTCTTAACTTGACAAATATGCTCTTTAAGATCCTTTGCTCTAAGTGGTTTTTGATGCTCTTGCATCGATCAAACAGGTCATTTCAAGCATGACAGGCGTTATGACAGACAGCAGCGACTTCTTGTTAAACGATGATTCTAGGTAAGTGTGGCTTTGCATATATCTTTCGTAGTGTAAAAACTAACAAAAGTAGAAGAAACTTTGAATCTCTATTGAGGGAACTAAACAAAACCGTTCCTTTTGGCTTTGCGCAGCAACAACATTTCCTTCTTGATCGACGATTTATCTAGTTCAATGCAAGATAAGGATTTTGCCCAAGTGAAACCTGCTGAGGAACTTCTGGAAAATCCAGCTTTTGTTTTCTTACTATAGTTCAAGAACATGATCCAAGAAAACTATGAGGAAGAATCTCAGAAAAAATCGCTGCGAAGAAAGTTTTTTAGATTCGCCGATTTTGTTTATTTGTTTCTCATTCTATCTCTATCTAATCATCCCAGAGATCTTGT